AAAAAACAATGTAAAAATATCTCCATCTTTTATATTGATTATATATTGAAATGATAGTATTTTTGATGTATGGAATTAAATAAAACACATTACTAAAATTAATTCCATCTGTTTATACCTTTTTAACATGGCTACTAGGACATTTAAAATCATATATGTGGCTCAAGTGCTATTTCTATTTGATAGCACTCCGTTAGAAAACTCCAAGCTATAGCACAGATATATTGTATTATCGTGGAATTTGTGCCACATTTGTTTTTCGCCTAAAAGATATGTGCCACATCCCAGAACTTGGGAATGGATAAAAACAGATGGAAAAGGCATCTGGACATTCTGACCAGGATTCATAAGACAGCCCTCCTAGCAATACGTAATTCCAAAGGTATCAAGGAATAAAGGAGAGAGGTGTCAAGATGGCAGCATAGGCAGACTATGAACTCACCTCCTCCCATGGGCACAACCAATTTACAACTACTCTGGGAACAACTACCCCTGAGAGAGCACTGAAAACTAGATAAAAAGAAGCCCCCAACAAGAGACAGTCCTGACAGGTGGAAGAGACGGAAATTCCTTTCTGGAGAGAAAAAGCCACCTTTGGGAGCCGCCGTGCTTCATGGCCAACCAGCAGCAATCCTAAGGTATGCAGCCATCCCTGGAGGAGGCTGGGATCTGAGGGGGGGAATGTTACCACTATAGGCATCCTTTGGACTCAGCACAACTAAGACAAGTCTCATAATACCTGACTTTGCTGGCTACTAACAACAGGGAATACCCCTAGAAAAGCTATCAGACATAAGGGGGAAAAAAGCCAGCTCTTAAAGGGCCCACACACAAATTCACTAGTTTCAGAAAGCATCCTAAAAGCACCAGAAAGGTACACAGTCCTTTGGTGAAAAGAGACTCACCTGATAGGCTCTGGGTGCATCTCGGTGAGAGGTGAGACCTCTCCAGAGACTAAGACATTGGCAGTAGCCATTATTGAGACCTAGTATAGGCATGCAGACACAGACACTGGCAGATGCCACTGGAGTTCTTCCCCTGGCCCGTTAGTCCAGGGTCTGCCCCACCCACTAGAGCACCAATTTAATCCAAGTCAGCCAGAGCAGGCAGCCTGCCCTAGGGCCTGGACCCACCCAACAGTAAGCCCTTGGGCAACTGGTAGGCCTGAATAGGCGGGATGCCTGGATCCTCTGCATCCAGGTGAGTAGGTCTGCCTCTGCTGGGCAGGGTGTGTGTGAGGAGCCAGTGGAGTGTGTGGGGGCCTTTGCAGTGGGGCAACTGGGTCCACTTCAGGGGGTCGGACACGCACATGGGGCAGGACTGTGTTGACGGTGTGTGTGGTCCTGTGTGTGTTGGGACTTGTCAGCTGCAGAAGACTTGTGCTTCTCAAACAGCCACACAGGGGATTGGCCCCACCTTCCAAAGCCTGAAACAACTCGGTGCTCCCATGCCTGGTGCCAGCCCCACTCAGCTGCAATCCTGAGAGCTGAAAACAGCCTTGCAGGCCAGAGGCCTACAGCAATTGTAAGCCCCTGAGCCTAGCAACCAGCCATGCTGGGGGCCAACTCACTTAACAGAAAAACTGCAAGAGAACGTGCTATTAGACCTTGCAGCCAACTGTGCTGGGGCTCTCCATGCCCGATAAGTGACTGAAGGGACCACAGAAGCCACATGCCGCTGAGCATTACAACCAGCTGGCCAGGGGGACAGCCTAGCCTCCCTGGGCACCCGCAGCAAAAGCAACCCTGCCACGACAGAAGGACATATGTAGCCCACCCAGGGGTCACTCCTGGAACATCTGGAAATGGTGATGAGAGGGAAGCACACGGCCGGGCCTCATAAGGCATCTCTTACATAAGGCCACCTCTCCCAGATCAGGAGACATAGGTGACCCACCTAATACACAGATATAAGCACAGAGACAGAGGCAAAATGAGGGGCAAAGGAATCCATTCCAAGTAAGGGGACAGGACAAAACCCCCAGAAAGAACTAAATGAAACAGAAATAAACAATCTACCTGACGAAGAGTTCAAACAAGGAATAAGGGATACATTTCTTACAAAAAATGAACATCTTTCCTTTTTTGTCTATTACCTCTCAGATATTTACATAACACCAGAGGACTGTTTCACTTTTGCCTTTCACACCATGGCTCTACCTATAAAGTTATTCCTAAACATCATGGTAAAGACTGAATAAATTTGGAGTTTGGTAACTGAAATCGGTATGTGCAATCAGTACAAGTGAAGACAGAAATTCCTTCGGGGAGTGCCCACGAGGGAGCTGCTATTACAGATTCCAGTATCTTTCACTCATTCCACAACTTTGGGCAAAGCACTTCACCTATTTCCTGTGAAAGGGCAATAGCATGTGAATGTCTACAGTCCTTTTAGAAGTATGTGGCACCAAGTACTCATTATCCTAGTCAACTCACGGAAAGGAGTTGGTGAAACATGGTCAGATGAGTAGTTGTGTGACTGAACAAGTAGCCTGCTTTGTGGTTCAGCTTCCTTCGTTGTAAAATAGTTATAACAACGTCCATTTTATAAAGGAATTCAGTGACGGAACAAGAGAAAGCTGAATGCCTACCTAGAACGTTGCCTGGCACTAAGGAAACACAGCTTCCCTCCAGAAGTTTCTCTGCTCTGTGGGCTTCAATCATCTTTGCCTTAAATTTAAAGACTGGACCTAAAGCTCTGGTCCTTTCCAGATTTAAAATTGAGAGGCTATATATGGTCAGTTGTTATAAGGCAAATAAGATTATTAAAAGCTCAGACGACCTGTCAGACTATGACAAGAAGTGGGTTTTCCCCATTCCGGATTTTTCTCCTCAGAAGTGATAGTTCATTGACATTATTTTCCACTGTAAAGTGGCTGTTGTGTCCAGTTTCCTGGCATCTAAAGAGAGCAGGCTGGGAACACCTGCACACAGGGGCCAGTGAAGGGTTTCTCAGGCTCCCCAGGAACCCGCCCTGCTCTGGCAGTGACTGTCCTCCGTGGGAATGGCTCCACTGTAATCTGTCCCATCCTTTCATGACTGAGGCCCCATTCCTGTGTCTTGCTTACTTCAGGCCCTCAAACAAAATCATTTGCTGTCAGCAACAACAGATGACCATCCTTCTTCAGACCCAGCATCTCAATTTATAAGAAACATGTTTTCTCCCATCCTCAGACCAGAGGTCTCTCTCCTTTCTGTATAATTTCTCTACGTCCAATCACTAAAGGGAGCAATTTTGAGAGACCTGCAATTATATATTATTCTTAATGTTTTCTCTGAGTAGCTGAATCTACTTTACAATGCCTAAAGTTGCCTCAGTGATGCTGGGGCTATATATTCGTGGTCTAAATAAGTGTGCAATAAACACAGACACATTGGGAATAGTAAAGTTTTTGGATGGGTTTCAAATGGATCATATGCAATAGGAAACGTAAGCCATTGACTATTTAAGCCCAAGTCAGTCAGAAAACATCAATATTTCCAAGCGTCTATATAAATCAAGTCCATTCCAAGTCATCTACCTCAGTTAAAGGAGGGTTAAAGGAGGTCAGAAGTCTGGATCACCCAGAACCCCAATCTGTGTGCTAGGCACGTTGGGGAGATGCTAAACCTCTTATCTCCTGGGACAGCTGGGCCGCCAGATGCCTTGGGTCCAACCCCTTCAAGCAGCAAGCTGCCTCCACTCTCCAGGCCCAGCATCCTCTTCTAGTCAAACCCCAATTTACAGGCGTTCATATCCGAAAGCCCAAGGCTACCAGAGGCTGAATGGAGCAGCCATCCTCTAAAGTCTTCCCCAAGCTGCCCAAATAAACATGACCAGTTTCTCCTCTGTCCCCCAGCATGCCTTCTCCACACCCGTCACAGCACAGAGAGCACATAACACCAAATCACAGTTGTTTACATAATCCCCTCACTCCAACTAGGCTCCGTGGATCCCCAGGACCTTACCCATAACGCTCAACGAGGTTAGCAGAAATAGGATCATCTACTGGACTAGAGCCATGCTTCTCAAACCAAGCACACTGGGGGCTGGGATTATGCAAAACCACAAGATAAATAAGGTGCACCTTCCTAGAGATCAAGCTTAAAACATTTTCTTAGTAAGACACTTGGCGAAGAGAAAGCACAATCCACACGGAGTTTCAAAAATAAAGTAACAGCCTTGTAGCTGCTGGCAGCTTCCAAATTCAAGGCCCCACCCGAGACCGCCAGGTGTGCCAGTCCCCAGTCCTTTCTGCTAGAGGCTCCCGTCAAAGCTGAGAAAGCCAGGAAACTCTGGCCTCCACTCGTGCTCTCCTTTTTGAGAGGCTGAAAGCACTTTGTCAGGGGTCAAAGATTACCAATGCTACTTTCTAGGTGGGAAAAACAAACAGGCTAATCTTGCGAAAACGACTCAGAAAGTTAATGCTAACGATAGGAAAACAGCTGTCTCCAATTACTGGCCCAGGACATCACATGATTAAGCTTGTAAGAAGACATTATACTTTTTAAAGCCTAAAATAACGTACTCTAGTTTGTTTGGGTCCAGACACCCTTTGATCACTTCCTGGAATGGAGTGCCACCAAACAAAACCCTCATTTCACGCCTTTCCTCTTCTTTGCTTGGCAGCCTCAGCAGTAAACCCTCAAGGGCTCTAGATAAACAGAAATCAGAAGCACCCCTCTGTCTCTCGGGAAAGCCTTAGGGGCACATCTGAAGCCTCCCGAAGGTCAGCACTCCAGCTGGATGTGCAAACATCCCGGCCACCGGCCCCTCCGGAGAGCGGCTTCCGCACTCCCCTGAAGGGCCCCCAACAGCACAGAACTTTCTGAACTTTTCCACCCTGTCCCAAAGGAGATGAGTGGCAGGGCAAACATCTTGAGAAGGAAGTGGGGTTGAAGAACCAAATCTTTCTTCCTACAAGTGCCTTCAGGGGTCGCAGAAGGACCAAGCCAAGACTCTGGGCTGAAGGGCTGACAGGCTCACTCACACCCAGGCCTGGAGTCCCGGCCCGCACTCACCTTGGCAGACGTCTCTCCGAACAGAGGTCTGTTGTCCAGGCCACTGGTGCCGTAGGTCCTGGTAGAAAAGTCCTCCATTTTGGGGTTTCTTCAGTCTCCTCAAGCCTCTCAAAACAGAATCAGCATCACGTGCCGAAGTCTCAGGTCCACGTTTCCCAACGCCGCCTAGTCACCGCGCACTCATAGCCGAAGCCCCGGTGGGTCCGGGAAGTCCTGGCGGCGGCGGTGGCTGGGCGCTCAGAGCCGGAGCACGCGGCCGCTCCGCCCGAGCCCCGCTCTCCTCCCCATGAGGAGCAGCTGCCGCAGGAAGTGAAAGGAAACAAACACGGCGTGGCCGACTGACCGCGGGCCGCCCCGCCCCGCAGTGCCCACTTCCCCAATCTCAGCGCAGTGCCCCGCGTGGCTCGCGGCCGCACGGCGCGGCAGCTCGCAGACTGGGTCGGCTTCCCCTCGCCCCCGGGCTCCACACGAGTCCCATCCCCACCTCCACCCCCGTTTCTTTACACAGTAATTTCCCGTGCTTTCTAAATTTGCTGCGGTGAGCACGCATACCTTCAAGGAGGAGAAAAGTTTTCTTGGAAGAATTCATTACAAGCCCCTCTCCAAGCCCTCTGCACCTCTCCATCTTCCCCCACCCCCAATTCCCGAGCGGCGGGAGAAGTGAAGTTGCCTAAGTAGAGCCGAGCGCTCCGCGGACCCCTCCCGCAGCGCTGCGGGTTCAGGTGGCAGCCGAGGCGGCGCCAAGCAACTTGGTTCGCCTCTCATTTGTTGCATCTGCCCGCGGGCCCGCGTGCTTTCCGCAGCTCTCCTCGCTCTCTCTGCGGGAGCCGCGGCTAGAGCAGCAGCCTGGGCAGAACCAGGTGAAGAGAGTCCCGCCTCGGCCCTGCACAGATTGGCCACCCTCCCGGGAAACGCCCCGCGCCGGCCCCGCGCCCGCAGGCCAAACCTCCGCGTCCCCGGCCGCCCGCACGCTGGGAAGTCCTGGCCGCGCGGGGTATCGCGGGTCTCGGGTTTACACCCGCGCCGGGATTCGGTGCTGAGGCTTCGGGGCGCGGGCGAGACGCGTGGCGAAGAAAGAAACCTTTCTGGCCGGCGGAGAGCGGGCGCGTCGGCCGGGCGCCGCGCTGCGGGTCCTCTCTTGGCCCCCCAGGCGGGATCCGCGGCCGCTGTCGCAAACCGACTCGGCCCGCCCAGGCCACGTCACGGCCGGGGCCGCCAATCCCGCGAGCCAAGGCTCCGCATTGGCTGCAGAGCTTTATTTCTAGAGGTGGCAGTTTATTCCCCTTGGGGCGGCCAGTCTCGCCGACTGCATGTTTCTCGGCGTCTTAGTTATTAGCGTCTGCGCGATCCACGTGGGCAAAGAATATTTCTGAAGATAGCTTTGCACTTGGCTGAAAGCATCTTAAAAACAACCAGCCGGCTTTAACCGCTTCAGTCTTTGCACGACTAGGACGGAACGGGGGGGTCGTTAATAAATTTGGTTTAGAGTTGTTTGTATATTTGTCTAGTTTTACTCTGTGATAAGCCTATGTCGTTTACAGAAACAGTCGGGAGATAGTACGTGCTAGGTACTTCTTTGACTTGTCCACTCATCCTGGTAGAGATGGTGCTAAGCATGTTTGCAGCCACCAGAAGGCTTCCTGTGTCAACCTCTTCTCCGGGTTTTAGAGCACAGAGAACTGGAGGTGGAAAGGCCTCATAGGCAGTGTCTGTGTGCTTGGAAAGCCTATGTTGGAACGTTGTAACCTTGTAACACTTCAAGTCCAAGCAGTCATTCCAGGCGGTCCCTCAACAATTTAGGAAAAGGATGGACTAAGAATCACATAGGTATCGATTTGGAATTTGCAACACTGAGTAGGATCAGGTACGATACATATCTGATCTACCAGTCATGTATTTTATAAATGATCTTCTCTTTGTTATAATAGGAATGCTACACAGTCCAGCACCCAGTTCTATTAGAAGGTTGACTGGCCCAACAGATAACTGTATTCAGTCACGTTCAGCCACATTCATTCAGCTTTTGAGAACCTGCTATGTACCAGGCAACTGCCAGACAGGGTAATACAGTAATCAGGGGACCGCCAAGGTCATAGTGTTGAGGCTGGAGCAGAAAACAGAGACATGTGACTACAATCTAGAGAAAGGAGCAGGTACAGTAGCTAAGAGCACAAGATTTGAAGTTGATCATATCTGCCCTCAACCCCAGATGCCACCATCTACAAGTGGTGTGATCTTGGGCAAGTTATCTAGCCTCTCTTGAGCTCCTTCCTATGTAAATGGAACTAGAATATCTAACTTCAATCAGTTTTTAAAAAAAAAATATTTAATAGAGAATATATGTCATCTGGCAAATAAATATCCAAATGGTAGTTGTCATAAATGGTGACACATGCTGTGATTTGGACACTGTGGGGTGCTGTGGGGATACATAGGAGGGCATCTACTAGATTCAAGTGGCAGAGAAAGCTTCCCCAAGGAGCCTTCTAAATCAAGACTAGCTGCCACTGCCAAGCATCAGGAGAGAGCACCATACTGCATATCTCTAGCCCCGGAAAGATCAAAGTTCAAACTTCGAAGTATGGTTTCTAATGAATGCATATTGGTTTCCCACCATCATAAAGTTGAAAAATTGTAAGTTGAATCATTTGTTGGGGACCATCTGCATTTGTGTTGGGGTATTTGAGGAGGAAGGCTGAGTCAGGGAAAATGGCCCCCTCCCTCCAGAGCTGCTTGTTCTCAATTCATCCATTCTCTGTACCTCTGCTCCATTCTTTTTCTAAAAACCAGCTTCCTCAGAACTACTACCCCCTGAAACTTCAACTTACATACGGTTTTAGCTTGTTTTGGTGCTAAAGTCTTGGAAAATGGATCTTATAGCTCCAATGCCCACAATTACTTGGCAGGCTCAGTGTGTATTTTTTAGTTCAGATTCTCATGAGAAATTCCAATTGACTGAGCGCAGATTATGAATTGATTTCTAGTTGCATTAGGTCCTCCACCCCCAACCAGCCAACAGGTGGGACCAGGTAGAACATATGTTCTTAGGACCACCCCCTTCAGCAAAGTGAGACAGAGGAGTATTTTAGTAAAGAAGAGAGTATTATGGATGTCAATGTCTTGCCACTCAAAGTGTGGTTCCCAGACCACTAGCATCGGAATCACCCAGTACCTTGTTAGAAATGCAAGCTTCAGTCCTTACCCCAGACCTACTGAATCACAATCTGCATTTTAATAATATCCCCTGCATTTAAAAAAAAATATTGGCAGTTGAGCTAACATCTGTTGCCAAACTTCTTTCTTCTTCTTCTTCTTCTCCCTAAAGCCCTCTAGTACATAGTTGTATATTTTAGTTGCGGGTCCTTCTGGTTGTGCTATGTGGGACACTGCCTCAGCATGGCCTGATGAATGGTGCCATGTCCGCCCCCAGGATCCAAACCAGCGAAACCCCTGGCCACCGAAGTGGAGTGTGCAAACTTAACCATGAGGCCAGCCCCCTATCCCCTGCATTGTAATAAGGGGAGTCATATGCACATTGAAGTTTGAAAAGCACCTCTTTCATACACCTCTGTTTTTACAAATTGAGCCACAGGCCATATAGATGACCCTCCCAATGCCTCCCAAAAAGCTTCTCATTTCTTGATCTTCATTTTGCTTCAGCTGCTTGTTCCAATGCCACATTCTGGACTTTGTCAACGCCCACAATTGCACCACATTTGGAATAAGTTCAGATAGACCATTTGGTAAGCTTACCCTCCATTCCTTCCCATTCTCTCACTCATGGTCAATATATCAGTCCATTGGCCACTTGAGCATCTCTGATCCTTTGGTTTCTTGACTTTCTCCCAGTGGATCAACTTCCCTGCTTTCACTTTCTTCCAACTTAGGTTCTATGTTCTATCACCACAGTTGCTCTTTTGATAATATCTTCAGTTCCCTTGGCCCATTTATTTTATCACACCTGTGCAGAAAAAGTCCCCTGAGATATTAATCCTTCTGCCTTCTCAAGGCCAGGTGGCCAGGTGTCTAGTGCAGTTGGAGGAAAAATCATAAATGCCCCTGATTAGAGTAACTTTAAATTCAGGGCGGCCAACCTCAATTGTGCCCTTAAAACCATCTGGAAATCCTGTGTTGCCTAGGCAACTCTCTCTTGTGTGGTTTACTGTCCCTGACCCTCAGCAGATGACTCAGCCACCTTCTTCACAGGAAAGAAACAGAAGCCATGAGATGGGAATTCCCTCAACTCCCCAGGAAACATACATATTCACCCATATCTACCCTCTTCCATTTTTACTTCCTTCCACTTAATGGAAGAGATGCCTGTTCATCTCGTGTTTTACATCCTATTGCATTCCACAGTCACAAGGGTCTCACTTATTATGACCGTATTTTCTCTATGGAAAATATTTAAACATGCTCAGTTTCAACCATGTCAAAATGAACAAGCAACAAACTTGCATTAAGACGATGTCTCCCTCTAGCTACTGCACTCTCTTTCTCTATACCCTCTGTGGAACTCTTGGTTGCCTATATAGACATCTTTCTCTCACCCCTTCTTCCTCAAAATCAGCGCCTACCTCCCAATGTAAAGGAAAAAAGTGCCAGATGTAAGATGTTCCCTCACTGAGCCTCCCTTATAGCTGGGGGAGGGGGTGTAAGTATAAAGGCCAATGAGTCATTAGGGCAGGTGTGCTGAGGGCTTTCAGAAAAGTTTCCTCCCTAAAAAAAGGAGAGAGACACATGAGAAAAGCTATTCCTCTAGACGTTGTCATGTGAGGACATATTTGGAGATGTTTCTACCATCTTATGACCATGAATGGTGGCCAAGAGTATGCCAGAGAAGCCAACTAGAAATGTGACCTACCCACCTCTGGGCTTCTTGTTATATGTTGTGTGTGTATGTGTGTGTGTTGAATGGGAGGGTCTCTATTGTATAAGCCATTTTTATTTGGACATTCTCATGCTTACAGCTGAAAACATGTTGATATATTTTTAAAGCAAAAATTTCAGTAAAAAGATCTACAGTGATTATACCCACTTCCTTACCTCCCACATTTGCCTCCATCACTGAAATCTGTTTACCTGCACTACCTCACCTATATTCTCTCATGAAGGTTCTGGTGAGGACTTATTGCTGAATCTGCTGGACACTTTTCAGGCCTTCTCCTACATAGCCTCTCAGCAGCACTTAGCATTTAAAAATTGCAGAAAGAGTCTTCTGCTCTTTCTCGGCACATCTTTTAAATATTATCTCCTGGGGCCCTGTTCTTAGCCTCTTTCTTTCTCACCACATGCTTTGCAAGGGCTGGTTCATCTACATTCATGGCTTCAATTTATATCTCAATCATATATCGATTTATATGCTAATGACTCCCAAACCTATATGAATAGACTTCCACAATTTGTCAGGAGACGTATAACTCATAAAGGAAGTCATTTTTGAAGTTAAGTAACTCTCATTCATTTCAGGGATCATTTAACTGTGTTTCTTCTCTTCGGTTGCCTTTACAGTGAAGCTGTCGGGGAGAGCAGTGGTTCTCAATTCTGGCTGGACATTAAAATACTTGAGGAGTTTCTGAATAGCCTAATGCCTGGGACCACACTCCAGACCGATTATATCAGAATCTCTGGAGATAAGACTCAGGCAGCAGTATTGTTTAAAGCTCCCCAGATGATTCTGGGTGCAGCTAAGTAGAGAACACAGGTTTACGGACAGAGTATAGGGCTAACCATCATCTGGGCCTGAAGTTGCGCTGTGGCTCCTCATTCTATTACCTGATAAGTCAATAGCACAGACTTTGGAGTAACAGACCTTGGTTTGAATCCTGGCTTACTCCTTCAATAGATGCATATTTTGAGCAAGTTACTCAACCGCTCTGAGTATCAGTTTTAACTTTTATGAAATGAGCAAAGCAATACTTGCCCTGTAGGGTTTTGTGAGATTAAATAAAATAATATATTTTAAACCCTGACATATAGTTAACACTCTGTAAATTATGCGTCTACTAAAATGAATGTAATGAAGACTGTAGCAAAATGGAAAAAATGCATATGATCTAATGTTAAAGGGAAAAATTAATATAAAGTGGAATCTTTATAGTACAATTGTGTAAGATACCTATGCATGTGAACCAAGACTGGAAAGGAATGTGAAAAATATGAAAATAGAGTCTTTTTCACTAA